TGAAAATGCTGCTCATAATCCTCTTGTCCTTGGTTTTATTCTCTTATTTTTTAAGCTAGTGTTTTATCCACTTGACAAACATGATTTGGGCATTGACCTCCAAAGGACAATCATTCTTGTTTGCACTTGGGAGTTCACAGTTCTTGTATGCAGCTAACAATGATTTCGTAAGAGAAATAAACTGCTTCATGTGGTTGGATATGGGGAAACCTACTTACCCACAGAAAGATTGAGGAGCTTTGCTAGGCAAGGGCCTTATCACTACAAACGGCGCAGTTTGGTCTCATCAGAGGAAGACTATTGCGCCCCATCTTTTTGTGGACAAGGTCAAGGTACATGTCAAAGTGGTGAAAAATTAAACTTTTGAGAGGTTTAGATGAAATTGTTATCTAAGGTGTTTATCCTCTTAGCTGGTGCTCAAAAGTCCCTTCCAAATACTTATATTAGAGGTAATTCTATGAAACTTCTGCTTATAGGACATGCTGGAGCTCATGGTGGAGTCCGCAACGCACTGGTGAAACCATGGGGGAAAATAATTGAAACTAATGGTGGGATCGCAGACATTAGAGTTGATTACTATGTTAGAAGGTACACCCCGTATATCATTTCAAATGTGGTGTTCGGGGATGAATGGCAGACGGGCATGGAAATATTTCCAAAATATCTAGCTCTTAGTCTAGCAATGAGCTCACCGACAATACTTAGTGGTGTCCCTTTCTACAGTTATGTTCTTCCTAACTATATTTTTGTTTCTATAGCAAATTGAGGTGAAGCATCTCTTTCAATGCTCAAACCGGTTCTCCTTTTTCACATATCAAATATTTTCCCATTGAAAATAATAGAGAGATTTGGAGGCTTAATAAGGAGATTCATTCAACAATTATGGACATCGTAACGAAGCACTTCGAGTCTGCTTCTAAAGACTTGTTGCAAGTGATCATCGAAGGTTCCAAGAATGGTGATCTTAGGCCATCCACACCTGATCAGTTCATTGTCGACAACTGCAAGGACATTTGCATCCCTGTCTCTGAAGTTATTGCCGTTGCCGCCATATGGGCTCTAATGTTGTTGGCTTCACATCCTGAATGGCAAACTCGCATACATGTTGAGTTTTAGAAGTGTGCAAGGATGGCGTCCTGAAATTCGATATGCTTCATCAGATGAAAGCAGTATGTAATTAGAGAGTTAGTGATCAGTTACCATGAAAAATATTAGATGTTATAACTCCTAGCCAAGACTTCATTCAATTTGTGCAGTTAAGAATGGAGGTTCTAGAGGTGTTGCGACTGAACCTTGTAACGGCATTTGTTTCAAGGCAGGTCTTGCATAACCTGAAGCTTGGTCATATCAAAATCCCAAAAGGGGTTAATATTTGGTTATGGTTGCTAGAATTGCACTTTGATCCTAAATTTTGGGGACCTAATGCAGAAAAGTTCAATCCTGAGAGGTTTGCTCATGGCATTTCTGGAGCTTGCAAATCCTCTCAAGCCTACATACCTTTCAGTGTAGGGGCTCGAGTTTGTCCTGGACAGAGCCTTGTCATGACAGAACTTCAGGTATTGTTTGCTATCATCCTGTCTAACTTCAGTCTCACCATCTCTCCCCGCTATCGCCACTCACCTCAATATGCTTTGCTGATAGAGCCTAAATTTGGAGTAAATCTCCTTGTTCAAAAGATATGGTTAATGTTGTCCCTATCAAAGATATTGATAAATAACTACACCACTAGAGTAAGTTAATGATTGTGGCTAGGATAAATGATTGTCACAGTTGCTCAAAAGTGGGGCGCATTTTATCTATCCTTTGGTTTTAAACCACAAGTGAAGCAATGCTTGATTATGATTGAAAAGCAGGCTATAATGCAGCACTTTCTTGTTAATTAGAATTTCTGATTTAGATATTTTTTATGACTTAAAACTACTTATGCTAAGTGCTTGTTTAGCCTGATTTTTTTAAATTTATTTATCCCTTAAAAGCAAAAATTAAGTCAAATAAAAATTTTAAAAAATTCTTAAAAAATAAGTAGTTTTTTTTTTTTTCAAAGAACACAATTTTGAAAAAAAAATTTAGAAAAAGCTCAAGAGCTTTCTCTCCTTTTTTTTTAAAAACATGCCTCTTTTTTTGAAAAGTTTTTCTTTTTGTTTCAAAAATATCTTCATCTATTAAAAATAATTTTAATATTATCTGTTTTCATTTTTATATGATTTATTATTAATTATAAATTTTAGGTTATATAAAAATACTTTTTATAAATTAAAACTTAAAATTAACTTTTTTTATTAGGAACAAAAGAATTTATAATTAATAAAAAATTATTTATTAAATACTTTTTATGGTACTTTTAATCAAAATTAGAACTTATGTATATTATTTTGTCAAATAACTTATTTATAAAAAAAATTATAAAAGTAAATTTATCAAATAGATTTAGCTTAATTTTAAAAACTATTAAGTCAGACCAAGCAAGTACTAAGTCAAAATAATCTACTATTAGGCTCTTAAATTTTAGCTTGTTAAAGTTGCATTATATCTATTCTAGTTAATTAGAATTTGCATTTTCTTGTTAATTAGAATTTCTGATCTAGATATTTCTTAACGGGTTGTTAAAGTTGCATTATATCTATTCTAGTTAGGCTCACGACCAGTTTTTATAGGAGGTTTGGCACCTAAGCAAATTCCAAAGCAGTCACTCCACATAGTCAGAGCCCCCCAAGAAGCAAGCCAAATAAATAAAGCATCAAACCATAACGGGGGGACCAAGTCTTGGTCGTTTCACCTTGTGATAAGAAGTTAGTTAAACGTGCACCCGTGCCCCTATATTTCGTCTTAACAACTGCAACAGCAAAATAAATCCGTTGATCAAGAACCAGAATCCTCATCATCTCATCACGTTCTCCTACTAAAATCATCAGGAAATTCAAAATTCTTTTGATCTCCAAATAGCATCATGTTCTTTCCTTATCTTAACTCAATATTCCGGCAAGTCATGGCACGGTGGCCTCAATTACTCCGTGCTCTAACATGGACTGTTTTATTGACTTTAATGGTAAGCTTGGCATCGTTTCCTCCAGAGATGGCCTTTGCATCAGCAGCATCTCCATCATCATCGTTCTCGCGGTCCTGTCAGGCTGAAGGGCTTGTCAGGATTCCTTTAGACTTTCCGACGGTAAAAGTGTGCTTGCCTGCTCATATGGTGAAGAGGTCCAAGGTGGATTTCTTTGTGCCTACCGTCTTTGCAGGTCTTGTTGTCGCTGGTTCTGCTTGTGTGGTTCGATCTTTAGGATTGTGGGAGAGTGAGACAGGTTGATGATTTTGCTAATTCTCTTGCAAGTTTTTCTGTATCCTGAACAAATGTCCAAAATTCATATACTTAAGAAAGGATCAGTTGCTGTTCCTGTTCCTGGATCATATTTTGTTTCATTTGCTGAATCTTTCTCGAGTTCCCTAAATGATTTTCCAGAACATGCTGATAATCTTTTCGGTGGTGGTTTGAATTGAATGGTTATGTGCCCATGTCACGGATTATCACATCGAAAAGTTATGTCTGATACTTGCTATGGATTAGGAGAAAAGACTTGAGGTGTAATCATCTCATAACAACGAGATCCCCATATATCTGGAAATTTGGACGCATGAATAGCCAAGAACAGAGGAAAACATTTGGTTTTTCGTATTACGTTGCATCATCCGTCAAAATCTTTCGTTTACCAAACGTCAGGATGCAGGACGTGCAGTGAGGACTTCCTTCTTTATGATTTGTGTTAAATAAGGAAAGTTAAGAAAACCCACCATCCTGGGTCCATAGCTCAGTGGTAGAGCATTTGACTGCAGATCAAGAGGTCACCGGTTCGAACCCGGTTGGGCCCTTCGAATACATTTTAAATTTGTTATTTTCCTAAGTAGCCAAAAATAAATAAATTTACAGGCATTAAGAATATGTGAGCACTGCCTAACTCTTAATTCACGATGGCAGCGACACTTTCGTTCATAGTGCAAGCCAGAAACCACTTTGCATGCACATATAAGCGTACGGAAGGCCCAATTGCACATTTTTCTTTTGGTTACCATCGAATTCACAAACTCAGCATTGCTCTTATATAAGTAAACTGATATGGTTTTCAAGTTTTAAGGTAAAAATCCAAATTTCAAGTTTTAAGCTTAAAGGAATGATTATTTCTTTACAGTCCGGTTAGCATCAAATTCAGCATTGCTCTTATGTAATTAAACTGAGATGGTTTTCAGGCTTTAAGTTAAAAACCCAAATTCAAGTTTTAAGCTTAAAATGGAATCCGAAAAAAAGTAAAAAAGCAAAAGGCTTAAAATGGAATCGGAAAAAGTAAAAATGCCAAAAAGAAAACAGATTTTAAAGCAACTGGCGTCGCCCGGACTCGAACCGGAGACCTTCAGTGTGTTAGACTGACGTGATAACCAACTACACCACGACACCGTGACGCTTGCTAACATAAAATATTACCATAGTTAGAAAAGAAAGATAATGCAACCCTACCGCGTGAGTTATACGTTTTAGTTATTGACCCCAGTCCTTGTCGACTCCTGCAGTTTTTTTGGTCATACAAATCTCTTTTTCAGTTCCAAACTTCTTAGCTTTGGCGGAAACCCTATCTCTCCTCCGTCGATCCCTCTTTTTTCCTCCTCCTCCTCAGATTTCTCTCTCTCTCTTTCTTCATTTATTTTTCTAGTGTTTTTTTTGCTTTATTCTATTTAAAGAAGGTTAAGAATAAAAATGTCAAGTGCTTTAGAGATGTCGCTAGACGACCTCATCAAGCGAAGCCGTAAGTCCGCATCCGGAAACTCCCGTGGTCGAGGCCGTGGATCCGGACCGGGACCAGCCCGCCGCTTTCCTAATCGCGGAGCAAACCGGTCGGCGCCGTATTCCACAGCCAAAGTGAGTAGCTAGCGGTTTAGATCTGATTATATTTTTCTGTGTTATTTATTATTAGATTTGTTTTTCTTTTTCTTTCCGATTCGAATTTTTGTATCAACTATTTTGTTTGTTCAGGCGCCGGAGACGACGTGGCAGCACGATATGTATTCAGATAAGGGAGCGGCGTTCCAGGGACAAGCAGGTCGGGCCTCCGCAATCGAAACCGGAACGAAGCTCTACATCTCAAATTTAGATTATGGTGTTTCCAACGATGACATCAAGGTTTTATTTTTTATAAACATTTCTGCTAATTTCTTATTGATTTTAATAGAAGATTTTCTTTTGTGTTTTGATTTCTTGTTGCTTTAACGATGATATTGATTTGAATTATTTGTTCTCCATAAACTTATATTTGTGATTCCTCAGGCTTAGCTCTTTGGTTTTGATTTTTGCATAGAGTTAAAAACTGTTCAATTATTCATTATACTTGAGATTAGTTAGGTGAAGAAAAGGTCTAGCCATGCTTAGCAATTCTTTCAAAAATTTTCCATTAAGTTTAATGTTTTGTCGTTGTTATATTTATTTTGGCATATTTTTCTAATGTTTATGTGCCTATATGCAGGAGTTATTTTCTGAGGTTGGCGACCTGAAACGATTTACGATCCATTATGATAGGAGTGGGAGATCCAAGGTATCTAATCGAGTTTGGCATAAACTGGTCCTTCTGATGAATTCTTTATATCGTGCTGTAGTTTAGAACAAAAAATCTCTTTTTCTTAGGGAACAGCAGAAGTTGTCTTCTCACGGCGAACAGATGCTATGGCTGCTGTCAAGAGATACAACAATGTTCAGCTTGATGGGAAGCCGATGAAAATCGAGATCGTGGGAACAAATATTGCTACTCCTGGTGCACCTTCAGCTGGCAATGGCACCTTTGGAAATTCAAATGGAGCCCCTAGAGGGTATGCTTTATTACATATTTTGCATGCCCCCATGTTTTTATCAGATGTTTAAATTCTAGTATATGTTATGTTGAAGCTTTTTCATTTAGGTTGTGATGCTGAAATTTCCTAAAAGCTGCATTACATTTTTATTGAGTTGTTAATCGAATATTAATTCTTGGTAGAAATTTCTCTTTTTTATTTGAAAATTCTAGTTTTTGGTTCACAAAAGTCTTATAGGTGGAGAAAATGATGGAATTGTTTGGCTTCAAGGGTCATTTCTGAAATTTATTAACCATGTGCTGTGAGAACATATTGCCTGAAATATGTTCTCTGAGATAATAGCACAGTCAAGTAAACTTCACCTTGTAATTATTTGTTATGTGTGTTTCCAAGTGATTATTGTTTGTTGTGTCTATGTAATCTCACAATTATTTTTAATGATTTTGACATATGTTATCACATTTTTATTCGCACTGGGTGTTCTGTTGTATAAATTTTTTGTTCCTACTTATGCTGCAAGCAAAAATTCATATTTGTAAGTGCTTGTTAACATTCCCATTTAACCAGTTGGTACTATTCAATATTTATAATAGTGAATCTGTGTGGGATATCTGTTCGATATCATTCTTTTCTCTTATTAGTCAATGATTGCTGGCTACTGATAGACTTGATTTATCTAATCTTGTTATGTTTTTTCTCAGTGGTCATGGCAGGGGTGGAGGCTTTGGCAGGCAACGAGGTGGTGGCGGAGCCCGTGGCGTTGGAAGAGGCCGTGGATGGGGAAAGGGCCGTGGAGAAAAGGTTTCTGCAGAAGATCTTGATGCTGATCTAGAGAAGTATCATTCTGAAGCAATGCAGACAAACTGAAGCATTTCTCATGTTCTGTTGATTGGTTTTAAGTCTTTTCTACTGTGGACATTATGTGCTTGATCTCCGACTATGTTGTGTATCTCTACGAAAATCATACTCTTTAGAGGAACTACTCATGGAGAAAACTGTTAGAATCTTGATTTATGGAGTTTGGGCTTTTACTGTTCATTGTTCCTTTGACTTGGGTATAAAGAATGTGGGTTAGTGGACAGCTTTCATTTTGTAATCTGCAATTGTGCTTTTGGTTTCATTGAAACTCTCATCCCACAAGTCGGGAACAAAAGCAGAAACTGTTTCTCTCGGTTTTCCATATGCAAAAGAATCTTTGGCTGCACGCTGTGGGAGGAGTAATCTTGCCATTGCCCAGAGCTGCATTGCCGTTTGGTTGCTCCTGCATTGTGAAACCAGGGAGACTGCAAGCGAGGTAGATTCTTTTATGTTCTTTCTCTTTTGATTCTTTTTAGCTGCTTAGATTTTTCTGCTTTGTGTTGTTGATGATGCAGTTGGTTTTCCTGTTTAAGCTTTTAGGCATTTTAAGTTACCTCACTCTCTTATATTATTGAGGGAATATATTTTTCCCCATTATATGTCATGGCTGCTGATGTAGCTTATTGTAGTCAATTATTGTAGAATCTCTCTGCTTCAGTTCAACCAGTTGATTTCTTGGTGGACAAATATTGTTGAAAGCGTTATACAATTGGCATATAGGAGCTTGTTGTGGATCCTTTTTTCAAGTTGAAACGGTTATAGGAATCTGTCAAATAGTTTGCACTTTCTTCAGATTCCGTGGAAAGTGACTGAAGTCTCAGCATATACCTGCTTTTCTTTTTTGGGGTCAGCTGGAATGTGCGGCCTTGCTCGTAAGCTCTTTGCTTGCGAAGGCATTGGTTCAGTGCAATTTGCTGCTTAACCCCGAAAAGTGGTTTTGAAGAAAAGCTCTGGCTATCAGGTGTGGTTTGAAATTGTGGTGGAGGAAGTCAAATATTATGAACGGTGTGAAAACCATTAGTGGGTAGTTAGGGCATATGAATATACTTGGTCAACTGCTGAGATTGAAAATGGTGGGAACCTACATGATGTTATGTGACTATGTGAGCTGCTATGCTATTGCTTGGAGCAAATGGCTTTAATTCAACATGAAGCATCCCTACTTTTTCTCTGATTCGACTTTAAGAAAGTGAATATTAGGGTAAGAGAACAACAAAATGCAATGATTTTTATTTGCTGTAGTACCGGTTCTTTTCATGGCTGCCATCTCCTTGTGAGTAATAGCTTTGGATGTTAGCCCCAACGTTTGGACTAGAAGTTGGTGAGGGCCTATTTACTACTGACTTGCCTAGTTCCTGACCTGTTGCTCCATGTTACTCTTAATCAACTTCAGGTCTCTATGATTATTGAATGCTAATCATCATAGTTTACATGGATCAAGAATTCACTCTTTTACCAATTTATAAATGCATCTTATCCATGAGGTAATGTCTGGAGGAATGTTTGTTTACTCTTGGAGTCATTTTAAGTGGGTGGACTTTAAACGTTGGTGAAGGATGTGGTCGGATTTGGATGTTTTCTGCGAGGGTGGTCTGGAATCTCTTTGATTTGCATTCACCCCTTTGGCATATTGCAGATTGTGGTTTCTTCTGGTTGGTGATGAGTCTTTCAATCTAGCTTCTCCGGGTCAGATCAACTATGTTAATTATGCCCGTAAATCTCCATTGAGCCATATGATGGGTTGTTAAACTGATTTTTTATGCTATATCTTCTTTTGTCTATTTTTTTTTTCCAATTTTTATGCATGTTACCAAGGTGATTCAATTTATTTTCCTTTGGTAACATATGCTGCAAGCATTTCTGCATCTCCAATTTGTTCTCTAGTGGAAATTTATTTTGAAGCATACCCTTTTTCGAATATTTTAGAACTTGTATTGAACTGAAATTTGTTGGAAATAACTCTAAATGTGTCTACTTTTTGAGTGGTTGCGTGAGCAAGTTATTTTGGTTGTATTAGCCTGACTGAAAGTGAGTGTATTATCTTGACCGGTCCTCTACTTCAAATGAATCGTGCCCTCAAATTTCGTATCAGGTTTCAACATTATGGAAAGCTATTTATATGGGTTTCAGAGCTTAGCTAAAGGCGTGCATGGTCCGGTTTGTGTCTAACCGGGCTGACCCCGTAGATGGATAAAACTGATCTTGACCCGGGCCACCAATTTTCCCAACGAATATTATTAAATAAATCGAATCTTAGATAACTAAAAATAATTTGCGCCATATAGGGCAAATGTTTGATGCCTTTTGAAGTTGGTCTTTATTGGGCCTTGCCAGGGGGCCTCAACCGATAGTATGGGCCTCTAGATATGGTCTGGTTGTTATGTTTGACAGAACCTGGGCCTGCTAAGGTTTGCCCATGCTCTTAGATCCGTCTAGATTTAGCCTGTTCCTGGGAAAGGTCCGCCCATGACTTAAGGTAGTCTGGGCCGTCGATAGGCCCATGACTTAAAATAGTTCGGCCCATGGATGTCGATATATTGAGCTACGCTCTACATTTATCTGGGCCTACCAAGGTCTGCCCTGGCCCAGAGGAAGTCGGGCCCATGGATTTGGGCTTGACTTTAATATTTGAGAGCTTAGCCTAGGCCTGCCTTTCTCTCCTATGCTTAATGGTTGTCTGGCCCATTGATAGGTCTGGTCTTGGGCTAAGTCTGGCCCTGACAAGGCCTGCCCGTTAAAGTTGGTGGTCTCGCCCATGTATAAGTCTAAGGTTGGGCCGGCCCATTTTTATGGCTTGGGCTCAAGAATTCCCATATCGGCCCACACCAACACAGGCAGATATGCTTGCGCTTGAAACTAGGCCCTTGGGCAGCAGGATTATGGGCTTGAGCATATAAGCTGGCCCTCGAATCTTTCTAATCTCCTTTCCCTGATTTACCAATGCTTAGGAGAACAGCATTCTTTATCATCCATACCTGGCTATGAGCACAGAGCTGCTCGGACCACTGGTGCCTTGTGCATATTAATTGTAACCAAACAAAGTGGTTCTCTACTTCTAGTTTCTTGTCAAAGAAGTAATCAAAACGGATGCTGCACTTCATAATGTCAACACGTGCATCAGCACTCATAAGAGAAAAACACAAGGTTACAAAAGAACATATATAATACACGCAATCATACAAATTTAAAGTTAAAACGCATTATTTATTGCACCGATCTTTGAATTTTTGGCTTGATGGTTAGGCCCTTTTTGGCTCTCTAAGCTTCCCCCAACTAGAAAAGATCAACCTCAACAAGGAACTGAGCACAGCTTTAATGCAAGACACTATAAAGTTCCAACATGAAGATGGCCAATACCATGGATATAATAGTCTAAAGAACAAACTTATAAGATGCCGAGGGTAACGCCCAACCTGCGAAACAATAATGATCAAAACCAGAAACATTATTCTTGCATCCAACTGATGCATCCTGCAGATGACAAACCATTTAGGGTAACTAAGCTCATAAACTCTAATGAGCAGATTATAGAACCCAAGTGCAACATGAGTTTTCTTTCAAAATGAATACTCACTGGAAAGAGCAATTCAAAAGGGTTACTCACAGGAAAAAGAAAATCTAAGGCATCCCAAGCTGCATGACGAACAGCCCTTGTAGGATACATTGGACCACCAGGAGAGGTAAAGCTATACAAGCTGGTCTTCAACCTCGTGCTAGTGGCCATTCTCAGTTCCATGCCTGCAGGATTCAAACATTATGGTCAATTTCGAGCAGTTGAATACAACCTAACCCTAGAAGAAGTTGATAATAGTACCCTGGAGAACCTTTATCTGCGAAAGATAATGCAGTAGGACTGGCTCCACCTTTAACTTTTGAAGCTGGCCAATGAAAAATTTCCCAAATGTGAAGACACCAATTGTTGCAAAGGCTTTTCTTTAAGGTGGTAACAATAAACAATAAACAAGAACAGAAAAATTTATACTATCTAATCATGGAAAAATGTACTTACCTGGTCTGCTAGTTCAATAACAAGTATATCTGCTGGTCCACCAATCAGGAAAGCATTTGGAAAAGCAGGGCACTGCTTTAAGAAGCTTTCAAGTTTTTCAACTGCATAGATTAACTCATCATAAAAGGAATATCCATATATGAACATTGTTGCTCCAAATCAAGGTTCCAAAGGAGAAAAATAAATCTAACCTGAGTTATAAAAGAATATGAACCTTGAAAGTAAAAGGTACAGATCTCGCTGGGCCTGAAAATTAGAATTTGCCAAATCAGTATTCAAATATAAATGGCAGCAAGGAAACTTGATGACAAACAGTAACTATACAAATATCCTGAACTTGACATGATATTCTTTTAGTTATTATAGCGAGAGCAGGATTACACATGGTAGATAATATGTCAGCATGCAAAACTCAACATAATGAAAAAAATATCTGACCTGTACTGGAATTTTATTTAACCGTGTGGGCTCCAATGCAACTTCCTCAAGGAGGTACTGAGTCCATAGAAGAAGAAAAGTGCTGACAAATAATAAAAGCAAGCATGCATTTCGAATGGTGATAATGTGTGTTTAGATCTTTTATGATTTACCTGAAATAAAGACTGGAAACGCCTTGTATTTGATTGGATATCAATCCTGCAAACAAGCACAACATTAACTGGAGTTATAAGACATTATGAGGCATTAAGTTTTGACACTTCTTTCAACAAGCATGACCAGCATAATAGCAATATGATGAAGCTATTAGCATTTGGAACCTCACAAAACTGCCACTCAAGCACTACCAATTTGTATTTAATGGATAGTATTAATACCAGAAAACATTTGTTGCACCCTGAACAAGCGCATATGAATAACGAAGTAGCACATCAGCATTTTCCAGTTGGACTTCAAATAACTGCAGGAAAAATACATAGCATCTACTATTCAATGTAAAAGGACTGCATGGAAAAAGAATTGAAAAGATCATTCACAGATTAAAACCACATTTTGTTCAGTCTCTAAAGCAACAACATATCTTATTTAGAATACCCAGTAGGAGCAAACATTATCTACTTCTGAGCACTATTGGAAATGAGAATATAACAAGATTCCACAACTAGGTCTTCTATGGATAGTCATTTTGAATTTGATCCAGAGAACTCATGATATCTGCACTGCTTCTATATTACTACTAATATTAGAAATGCATCAAATCCCAATGGCACTTAGAGATTGTAACCAGGAATTATGTCCACGAAGTAGGGAATAAAATAAATAAAACAATAAGAGCCATGTATACGTTAATGTAGATTTTTCGAAGCAAAGAAAATGTGTTTCGCAACTAGTCACATTTGGTTTTTCTTTGTTATTTTATCTAGTTGGAACACTCTAAATTACTACCTGGCAGAACCACCAACCATTTCCTCAGTCGATAGCACCAACAATAAACAGCAGCAACAGCCAAAGAAATGATATTCACATTAAACTACTATCACAAATATTCAGTAACCAATCAGGTTGAAATCAAAAAAGCTAAGTACAACTCCGTATACTTATGCCTTGATTACAAATGATTCATGTGAAAATTATATCAAACTTGAAAACATTGGTTTTATCTAGAGAAAAACTCATTAAAATGAATATTACTACTGCAGCACCCTAAAAGCTCCAAAGAGTAATTTCATAATGAAACAGCAAAAGAACTACTATGAACCAATCATGAGCTTGCTCACCCATTTATGGAATAAAAGGGCAAAAATTTGGGATGCAAATGATTGGCTCCATAGCTGGACAATCAAATCAAGGATAGGCTTTCCACTTTCAGGCTCTTGAACATGATAATCAGCAAGCACATCGTAAAAGCATAGACGGCCATTAATACCGTACTCTGCAGGAGATATTGCATCTTCTTCTCTACTCAGTATTATATCTGTTGCCAATTTCAATATATAAATAATATGAGAAATTCTCAAAATCTTGTATAACTAACAATTGAATTTGAACCATGAGTAAATTACAGTATTTAATCCCTATAATCAATTAAAATGGCACTACAACTTAAACATTTACTTTTAATGTAATTCTTTATAGTGAAAAAAAAAATACAGAGTTGACGAAGTCTTAGCTAACCTTTGGCTCGATCATCGACTTCCAAAGCTATATCGGCGAATAATTCTTGTAACAAGTTGCGTCTCTGAGATGAAGACGCTAATGCCTGTAACAAATTTGCATATACATCAGATCAAAAAGCTCTAGCAGAAAATTAAGCAAAAACTAATCGGAAAAAGTGCTTTTATTACTATTTAAAAAACTATTATTAACGGAAATAATAAATTACTTTCCAGACGGTAGCCAATCATTACCTAAAATGTTAAACTTCGAACTTAACGATAAAACAATGAAAAGATAGAATGGTAAAAAAAAATAAAACTGAAAATCGTTCCGCTTTTCCTTCAGTTTTCTCGAGAAACAAAAAGAGAGGTAAGAAAACGGACCCGCTGAAGCTTTTTCTCGATTTCTTGTGTGAGCGCGTTGAGATAAGCGGAGCTTCGAGGTCTTGAAGAAGCTTCTTGTTGCTGCATTTTTATGTTAAGATCTCAAAAGGTGAAGAATAGAAAGAAAATCTATCATTTGAGAGAGAGGAATATGAATTTGATCCAAACAAAGAGCAATCAAACAAAAGAAATTTCGTTTATGTTCTATTCTCTCGAAATAAAAGCTTTCTCGTTAATGGATGGCAGTAGCCGTTTTGACCTTTTACCGACAGCGTAAAAAGCAGTTGAATTATATTCAATAAGAATAATTAAACGGTGTTAAATTAATTAATTAATTAATTGTTTAATAAAGACAAGGGAAAGGATGCGAAGGGTGATCTGGCGTGGAAGAGAAGCAACAGCGTGCGGAGTGGAAGGGAGAGCCCTTACTCGTTAAGGAAGAAGAAAAAGAGAGAACAGGCAGAAGGGGAAAGTGGTGACAAGGATTTTTGCTATCGTGGCGGTGTGGTGCATTTTGAAATTTTCCACGTGTCTGTTTTCAGTCTTGGGGGTGGAGTGATGAGAGTGGATAAGCAAAAGCGGGAAATTATACCGTCACCCGCGTGGGAGATTGCAAAGCCATTGGTATAAGCACATTCGGCCCACGTGTGTTTCTGATTATACGATCAATCATATAAAGTAATTATTACTAATAATTTCTCAATCAGAGATCAGACTTTGTCTTTGCAAACATTCCTATCAGTTAGAACAATTCATCAATGGCGTAACTGTTTTTTTTTTTTTTCTCTTGCAGAAGGATTATGATCCTTGACAGACTTATTTTGGTCAAAAAAAAGGAGATTGAAGTATTTTGTTACTTCTGAACTTTGAATTGCAGAACTTGAGGTGACGGTCGTTTTGCGTTACGTGCCTACTAAAATTGACAGTTTTTTGTCAACTCGACCGACTGGTTTAAGATGAGTGTTTTAGGATTTAATGCCATCCTGATGCTCTGATAGCTTCTAACTTAGCAGTGTATCAACGTTTAAACAAAAGCAATTAAAAAGAAGATTTAAGGCTTTTATTAATGTTTATTCATTCTTAAAACAAATTCATACAAGCTAATACAATCTGATTTCCCTACAAATTTACAGCTGAAAATGCAGCGTGGCATAAGAAGAGCAAACAATGGCAACCCTTTCTCTAACAAATCCATCCTTGGTTTGGTAAACCCAGAACGGACAGGATGAACATGCTCTACATCAGATTGGCAAGTCTTGGACATTCTTCTCTACAACAGATAAAGAGCAATCATAATTGAACAGACATATGCTCAACATAGGTTATTAAAGGAGAGATTATTTGAGAATACAAGCCAAATGCATCAAGATATAGTTGGGGAATTAGTGCATTGCACCCAAGAGTGAAAGCAGGAGAAAGAGCATTCAGTGAGGGCGGGACTCATATTCCAGGCACAAGGAAGATGACTCCACTCACCAACCCATCAGCATTCTTCTAACTCTATCTACAATCTGATTTCTAGCTACCATACTTGATAACAGGAATCTGCAGTTCTCGTCCAAAAGAAATCTGTAGACTTCCCATTCACGATCTGAACTTGAATGTCTTCCAATTTCAGCCTAAAAACCACGAAAGCAAATGGTTACAAGTAGTTTAAACAATGATTTGGCTGCTCTGTAGGAAAACGCGATTCAACGAGTACATTTGCTGATTTGACTGGGGTGAATGAACCAACAACCTTCTTGCCATAAAATCTTTAGCTCAAAATAGCCAAACATGCAACCATATCGGTATTAAACAATGGAAATACAATCCAATCTTCTAGTTTGAACTACCAAGCATTGCATCATTGTTCTCTTTCCATTATGTTATATCAAAGCAAGTTCACACAAGTTACAACCTGTTCATGGGTTTTAAATCACTTTTCTTTTAATGCAATGATTTCTTACCGAGAATATGCAAATCCCAAGAGCCTTTAGAGCCAGTGTAACATCATAGAAAACCCGCGGTCTTCCCTTTCCAGATAATTCAACTGGATTAGCAACCAGAAGCTCAGTATCTGGGCCCCGGTTTGAAATGATGACACGTAATGGGTGAAGCATTTCCACCTTCAGACGAGAACATAATCCATTTTGCTTATCAGGATCAACAATCTTTTTCCTATCCTTTTGCAGAATAAATAGGTCTATATCACGATTGCCATTGAAATTGGGTGAGAACCGGCCATAAGCTATCTGGGAAAAAAGAAACAAATAGCATCTATCACCCCAGTGGGAATTTAAGCAAAAGCCAAAGCAGAAGGAGGGGGAGAGGATACATTAAATCAATCAATTAGACACCAAAGTCATTTCAACCGAGAGCACTATCATTCAGCAATAGGTAATCCTGTGGCTCAGTATAACAAGCAGATGGAGAACCTTGGAAACCAGCTCTCTGATAACACCACTCACCATGACTAAGGTTCAATAGGGTTCCAAAACTTTGTGGCCCCTAGGCCTAATCTAAGGAAAGAGTTAGAATTACCAGCTATCAACCCTGGTAGTCACATTTTGTTAACAGACAAAATAAATTTGTGTTGTTTATTTCATAGGGTAATGAAAAATTTTAAGGACAATTACCAAACCTCAATCATGTCATTTTGAAAAATATAAACTTGGTAGCGAGACATCTTCAACCTAATAGATGCGGGGACTATGCAGCATAATCAAACAGGCACACTATTGTACCATACAACAGAAACTAATTTTATAAGGTACTTGTCAAACATCAAAAATTTTAGCAGAACATACAATACCTTGATATTGCAGTCTTTCAAAGTTCTCAATACATCGTAGAAAAGACCTTTGTGATCAACGCAATGTAATTGGAGCAATGTATGAGCTGGGCTCAATGAATTGTCTACCACTACATTTGCTTTCTTCAACTTTGTCATATCTGGGCTAAGAGCTTGTGAACGAGTCTCTTTGTCTGATAGTTCAGAACGAAATAACTCTTCTGCTACAGTAGGAGAAAGAGACGAGAGACCATGATGACATTCATACTCAGGACCAGCCAACTTGAGTTCACAACTGATACAAGATTCACCCAACACAGCATTTAATTGCTTATATGTGTCATCTTGTCGTTCTTTCGTATGTAAAAGCTCCCTGAAACCATGTTGCATACATTACTGAGATCAAAAACCGAACCTTTTAATACTTTATTCCTTGATTGCTTGGTTATTATCAACACAATTATACAGTCGCCATAACTGATAGAGAAATTCTAGACCCCCCAATCTACAAATAACAGCTCAAAAATCACTATGTACCATGTTATTTTCACTTTCAATGAAGAGATATTCTCCATTACCCACAAGTAAAAAGCACTAATACAGTCATCAGAAGAACAGGTTTTTGACATCGAGTTTTGGTTTTCCTTGAGAGGTAAGGTCTTTGAGAAACTACAGTACAAAAAGCAACAAAAACAAACTATGCAGAAAACAATAAAAAGTATAAGAAAAGAAACAAGATGATCAAAGGCAAATAAAACCACAAACTACATGACATGACATGAATTTCACTTTCATTACAAGTGGACCACATCATAAGCGGTCCAAAATTAAATAACTCTGAACAAACATTTAACTGCTAGAGCCTAGATGCGTCAACCTATCAATAGAAACAAAGAACTAAAATTTCCCATTAAAAATCCCCCCCCCCCCAAAAAAAAAAAAAAAAACTCCATAAGCAACAGAATACTGTTCATTGGAAAACATTTCCCCAAAGGAAAAGTATTGCATACATCACGAAATGGAATCTCACATGTTATCTGTTATAAAGAAGAGGTCGAGAACTCTGCCATCAGGGGTCGTCGTGACTTTCACCTTTTGAATTGTTAGCTCGAGCTCGCAGAGAACCTGTGTAACATCTAAAGCAAAGTTTCCAACTCCATTAGAACTGACCGTGCATATTGCACCCATACATCCGTGCTCACACACAAATTCACAATAAATTAAGGAACATTAATTGGAATCAAAATTACCATGTAACAATCCTTTCCGATCAAGGCAAAAGAACTTCAACAAGTAAACCGGAGAAGCCGCAGAGTGTGAAGTTTGATCATTCAAGAAAAATGTCACCGAACAAGAGGGACATATGGACTGAAGGCGGTTCTTCAAACTCGGCCACCTTACAAAAATTGAGCTCGAATGAGGAACCAGCCAAAATACCATATAGCACCAAATTCCATCCGTTGAAACATCTACAACCAAAATTGTTTACCATTAAAACATAGCTAATCTAAAAAATTCCAGGTTTCCATTTAAGTCAAAGAAAAGTTCTAGAAATAAATTAAGTAAAAAGAATTCCTAATTTTAAACAATGTAAATCTAATCATAAATCATATTATTTAAAAATAATAATTGCAGTAAAAATAAAAAGAGGTGGCAAGCAATTATGCAAGAGCGAGCTAAGAATTCACCTCCTTTGGTGATATAAAGACCGAAATCAAGAATTATACGGCAAATATCGCATCCGAGGCCATGCTTATCAGGACAATTAACAGTGATTACGTGAGGCTCTCCTGGCTTCTTTCCTTTCTGGATCAAAACGACGTCGTCGTTCGGCACTCCCATGCCGTCTACGGGAAACCACCGCTGAAAATGCCAGAGCTCGATTTGCTCAGCTCAAGTGTCCCTTCTCGTCGAAACGTGCCGACATCCGGAGTTAAGTTTTTGCTTCTTTTTTTTTGGTCTCTTCTACCAAAATCTGGAAACAAAAGGTGCTCTCCTTTTTCTATTGTTTCAGGAAGGGAGGATAATAAAAGTAGGGAAGGCAGTGAAGGAGTTTACTTTGTTGGTCGTATGGGAGAGACCACCTCCACGTCAGCAAAACAGTGGTTGCCTTGACTGACACGTGGCGAGGTAGTGGTGGTTAATAGGGTGTCTGACAGATGTCACTACCGGCAGCTGCTACTATTTTTGTTGTCTTCAAGTGAAATGCTATTGTCACGGGTTACTAGGGTCAAGGTCACCAATTTTGAGAAGGAAAATTTTGAGACATCAAAGGCAGAAAGGTGGTCCAAATTGAATGCTATTATCAGCTATATATCTAGCTTCCGACCAGTCCTTAGATATTGTGTTGGCAACATCATATACTGCAACTCGATTCTCGATAATAGAAAACTGTGGGGAAAATTAGTATGGGTTAACACTGCAATTATGTCCTGATAACAAGGTTCTTATGACAGTAGTGATCTAAATTTAATTAGGCCCTGCGGGTCAAGTGAAAAGGACGTGGATTTTAACCTTAGGATGAAGCGAAGAGATGTTCCAATAAGTGCCACAATTTCTACAAAGAGCTTGGTTGAATGACTGTACCTTCTCGCTATGGGGCAAGATTCCTAGTACCCTTTTTCCCTTTAGCCTCGTTTCTGTACTTGATCGTGAAAAGAAAAATCTAGAGCCAACCCAAGGGAAATGCTACCATCACAAGGAGGAATTGGATTAAAGAATTATTTATGCACAATTCCGCGAATTTAATTGCACGTTCATCATAATCCAATGTTTTATATACTGATTAATTTTCAATACAAAAGTTTTGACTTGAGTTTAAGACAGGCAACGCCGCTTGCAGAATGGTCGATTGGGTGATTACTACCAAGCACCGTTGTCGGGACTATCATACTACTTGTCCGGTCCATACCTACGATGAATTAAACTATACTATAAAAATAAATCGTGTTATTTAATTTGATGTAAAAACAATTACCTGGAAACAGTAAAAGATTAAAAATGGGAAAGCGAGCAAAGGCTTTGATGAACGAAATCCGTTGCCCATATTCAAGATTACAGATTACAAGAACATCAACAAGGGAACTGAAACAATCACATAAAGGCAAGATCTATAGCCAAGATCTACAGTTGACAAACTTAATAATGCCAAAGCTAAATCCATACTAAAGAGTACAGAATCTTAACCACCAAAGCCATAAAGAGTCCTGCCCTGCCTCTTCAATGCGTAAACAACATCCATAGCAGTAACAGTCTTCCTTCTTGCGTGCTCAGTGTATGTCACAGCATCGCGAATCACGTTCTCCAAGAAAATCTTCAAGACTCCTCTGGTTTCTTCGTAGATCAAGCCGCTGATCCTCTTCACACCTCCTCTACGAGCCAGACGGCGAATGGCGGGCTTAGTGATTCCTTGGATGTTATCCCTCAAAACCTTCCTGTGCCTCTTGGCTCCTCCCTTTCCAAGCCCCTTACCTCCCTTTCCTCTTCCTGACATTTTCTTCGAAACCTTTTGATTTTTTTGGTAGACTTATCGAAATGATGAATGAGATTAAAGAAGAGCCGTGAATCGTCAGGCGATTAAAAATGTTTGGCGGGGCTAATTTGAGTCGTACGATTAAATTTTTATCGACGGCTGAAAATATCGATCCGCGTGAAAAATGCTGAGTTATATATGAACCGTTGATATAGTGCCCAATCGATGGTTGTTAAGCGTGGAATGCAAGTGCACGGATTGTGGTGTTTGGAATTTTTCAACTTGGAACTCATTTTTATCGCCAAGTGTGTGTGATGTACTGAACCATGGATAGAATTACATATGAACCGTAGATAGAATTATCATCAACGGCTGGGATAAATTTTATGACATGTGACGCGGATTGTGCTCTTTTTAATGTATAAGAATTTCAAATTAGGCGGGTCCGAACTTATCTTAGTGATTTTGATTTTACATTTTGACGGATTAGCGGGAAAACGAGGAGGAAAGAGCTTCCGTTTTGCCGTTTTCGACTTTGGGTTAAAATTTTCAAAAATTTCGAGAAAGTCCGTTTAACTTTCTAATGCTTTTTTCAGAAGGTTTTCTTTGACGATAATGTATTAACAGCATGAAAAATTATATGCCTAAATCTTGTCCTCTCAGTTGGCTCAATTAATCAATTTGATTTCTTATATATATATATATATATTATTTCCTTCATCCTTGTTGTACAGTAGATTATACTTGAGGATTGTGAATCATGAGTCATTTGTAATTCTCTCCTATAATTAATCAAACTATCTTGACGATTTGGTTTCTGCTTTTTTTTTAATGCTATTACTCATTATTCTTATATAGTAAGGTTTTCTATTCCTAGATCACATGGAAAAATAGAAAATTATTCCTAAGCATTGCATTTCATAGGTGAGTTGTGTGCATGGGGGATTTAATTTTATAAGATCCTTCCAAATTCCAATTGGTCTTTTGACCAAAACTAATTTTCAACGTAGTATTATCCATTATCACATAATCTTCATAATATTTAAATATGAGTTCAAAATTTTTAAATATAGTAAAAATTTATCATATAAAGATATATTAAAAGCATAAGTAAAAGAAAATTGATCTTATATATGTATATGTGTATATATATATGCATGTAGATATATAATGAGATTATCGGTTTAAGTACTCGAGAAAATAAAAAACTCTTTATTTAAAAAATACACAATTCTTGTAATTGAATTCTATGGAGGTTTTGGCTGTATACACATCTAAGTTTAAACAAAATTCTATACATACTAACCTCAACTAAATACAAAAAGGTTATTCTAGTACGAACGATCTATCACAAGTCTAACCAGCCAAAAAGATTGGCTCGTTATGTAAGAAACAGTACATAGCTTGTCATGAAATATTGTTTCAGAATATATAAAAAAATCAAGTTGCTTTGATTTTAATTGTAATAGGAATGGGTCTCGACTCATAAAGCAACTCCTTCTCCTTAAAAAGGGATGAAATCGGATAAAATCGGGTTGAAAAGAAAGAAAAATTCGGTTATTGAATAAATTAAATTATTAGTTGTTGATTTATTTATCTGTAATTTAAGAAATTCAAAATTTTCATTCATGAAGTTTTAAAAATATTCAAAATCTATTAATTTATCAATATGTCATTAAAATTTAAATAGAATATGAATAAAATTTACCGCATGATATTTTGATGGACATACAAATGATAATTTTATTCGAATATTAACTAGATGTTAATGGATAGATGAAAGATCCGGTACTTTAGATCACTGAAGAAAATAATTTTTTTTTAAAAATAAGAATTAATTATGAGATTTACTCCCATTACATAAAAATTAAAAATTACTACATTTTAGATGCCAATAGTTGAAGATTCAAAGTCAAGCTTTTAAAAATAGTTACAATAAAAAGTTTTTTTTAAGGCATATATTATTCATTAATCAAAAAGAACAATTTGATATAATGTAACAAAAAAAATTTGTGAGATGTATTTAATGTTTTTTTGTAATAGATAACAATATTCTTCATTAGTATTTAAAAGGCAAAATACTTAAGTAAGCTCTTAAACTATTTAAGAATATTTAAATAAACTTTTATTATTTTATTACGTTTAATCAAGTTTTCGTATTTTTATTTTGAGTCAATTAAGTCATTATAACTAATAATTGAATAATTATCATTAATAAAAATATTACTTGTCATTTTATATCTGCATAACATTGATGTGGAGAGCGAAACATATCACATAATCATGTTATTATGTCAAATTAGCATATCATATCATTATCAATTATGATATGTCAATATACCATATTATAATCAATTATGATATTTTAATATATCGTATCAACATTATATGATATAGAATATAAATGATATTTTGACTAAATCAATTATTAGTCATAAGAGCTTATTTGACTCAAAATAAAAAGTATAACAATTTATTTAGCTAAAAATAAAAGTATAATAACTTGATTGAATGTAATAAAAATATAAATACTTATTTGAATTTACTTAAATAGTTTAGGAGCTTTTTTATATATTATGTCTACTTAAAATAAGTTCAATTACATTTGCACTTTTCAAACAACTAGTATATTTAAAAGTTTGGCATAATAGTTTAAAAAGTTTTTAAATTATTCAAAAAAATTTAAATAACTTTATATTCTTTTATTTAGTTTAATTAAATTTTTATATTTTTATTTTAAATTAATTAAGCATTCATTACTAACTGTTGATTTACTATTATTAGTTAAAATATTACTTATCATTTTTATATTAATATAAAAAGTAAAAATATCATGTGATTATGTCATTATGCCACATCATCATTTACTATAACATGTCAATATATCAAATTAACATCACATGCCATAAAACAGTTTGATTAATGATAATTAATTAATCGTTAGTTAATCTCAAAGACTTATTTCATTTAAAATAAAAATATAAAATTTGATTAAACGTAATAAGAAGATTTTTTAAATTTTTGTAAAGAATTTAATAACCGTTTTAAATATTATACCTAAAAGTTTCAACAATACCTTTTACTCTATAATAATGTCCAACAAGCTTAACAATAAGGTTTAATCAAGTAAGAAAGCTCGATAGAAAGAATTAACAAGAGAACAAAAGATCAAGTGAAAAAAGGAAGAAAATAAGTAAAGCACAACAATTTGGAGAAAAGAAACAAAAAGGAAATTGGTTATACTGATTAAATGCACAGCTTAGATGACCCTAGTTTTCAATTTTTAAGTTTAAGTTGATAATCTCATTTTACAATTAATCTCAATATTTTATTTGCCACATCATCATTCATGGACATAAAACGTAAAGAAAAGCGTTTACGAATCTGCAAAAATAATAATTTAAAATAGTCTAAATGTGAAATATTAATAAATTAATATTATTTTTAAAATTTATATTATCTACACCTAACACCACTATTCTTATCTCTTCATTCTTTAAATTTGGAACATTTAAAAAAATCCTAATACTAGGAGTAAATTATCTTTTTAATTACTTAATTTTTTGATATTTTACATTTTGGTCACTTAATTTTGAAAAATAATAGTTTTGATCACTTATATGTATATAAGTATTATTATTTTAATCACCCAATCATTTAAAAATAACAAACCTCTCACATGGTGTTTTACATCACTATTTAAGTCAACTATCATGATATCATCTGACTGCGTTTGTTACGGATTTACATTTTTAACTTAAAAAACATACTTACTAAAACAAAATCTTTATTTATAAACTTTAAATCCACCTTATCTCATATTGATATGAAATCTATAATAATGGTCACGTAACAATAAAAGATTTAAAGAAATTATTTTTTTAAAAATGATTGTCAACATAATCGTTTGGAGCAATTGATGTCAACAAAAACATAAAATGGTATGTAAAAAATGTATTATTTTTTAACAATTACAAGATCAAAATAATAACATTTATAAATATTGACAATCAAATCGTTCTCTTTCAAAATTAGTTTATCTAAATAAAAAAGATGTCTTTATTTAGTGATGCAAAAGTTAATTTACTTCAATAATAAATAAATGTCTTCACTAAGTTCTTAAATTCCAATTCCCGAAAGGTTCACTCATGGGCCCTTTAATGGGCCAATCTGGATACAGTGTCTCTAAGCCCATCAAAAGCTCTGTCCCAAACCCAATCATTCTCGGGCCCGATCCCTCCAAAATCATCGAATCTTGTCATCCAACGGCCACGACAAAACCAAAACCAGTCCGTCAGGAAGTGAGAAAAACCGATCTCGTTGTTTATAGCCACCAAAGCAAAGAAAGAGCAAGACAGGAAGAATCATCAGAAGAAAAAAGGAAAAAGAAGAAGCGAAGGAAAGATGAGGAGGTGGTTCGATCCGTGGCCCGTTTTCTTCAAGAGGGAGTTCAACCGCAACTGGCCCTTCCTCGTCGGCTTCGCCATTACCGGAACCATCATCACGAAGTTTTCCCTTGGTCTCACCGGTAACATATTTTCGTCTCAATCCTTGCAATACGTATTTTAGTATTCAATTGTGTACGTATAAGTGTACTGATCGTCTTTTTTTATTAAATCGATTTTGCAGAGGAAGATGCCAAGAACTCGCCCTTCGTTCAGAGGCACAAGAGGTAAACCCTAGATTCTGATTTACCTATTTTTCGTTTCCGTAAAACTGTATTGAATAAAGGGTTAATTGAAAGGCGTGTTTGGTTCCTTTAAACAGATTTTACAGAATTTGCTCTATTTTATCTGAGAGAGAGATCTGAGAATCTTTATCAAAGGGATATGATTTTGTAATTGCGATAATTTCCATTTTGAGTGTCATTTCTATGAGAGAATAATGTTTTGAGATTGAAGAAGAAAGCAGACGGTATCTTTGTGTGATATTGATTTACATTTTTGTTGGAGCACTGAAAAAATGTAGTAATCCTTGTAGTCTTTAACTGTTTATGGTGCTTTGAACCTTCTTTAATGTGTGTATAAGTGAATTAATTTCTTCACTAGCTGAGATAAAGGTGTTAACTTGAATTGATATGTGAGATATGTAGCAATCTCGAGTTCTTAGGCACATTGGCATGGTGTTTAAGTCTGTTTGAATGAGGATAAGAGAAGAGAGCAACAATGCTAGGAGAGAAATAAAATGATGTAAAATCAAGTGAAATTTGATGTGAGAGGACAGGGATCGGTGGAGAAGTGAGATAATCTTACAATCATAAGATATTGTTTTATATTGGACTGAGGGTTATGCTTTGAAAATTAAGAATTTTAGTTGGAGTTATAGTAATTTATCTTTAAATAACTTTACTAGATTTTAAAAAGGTAAAAGAGCAATAAGTACTTATTATAATTCTTTTCTTCAGTTCTCTTCGCACTGGATTTAATCATATACATAGAAATTACCAATCAATTTTACTCAGTTGCATTGTTAAAACTTGATATGGTTTAGCTGTAGTCGTGATTTCTTGGATTAGGTTGTTTGAGATGTGGTCTGTTTAACTTTCTTAATTACTGCTTGCTACTGGTATAGATGTATTTAAACTTCTAATCATCTTAGGAAAGCATGTGACCACTTCTATGTTCATGAAACTATTCATCTGAAAGAGGGGCTTCAAGAAATCCATCTATGGTAGAATGTTACTTTTCAAGGATTATAGCTGCATTGACACTTGGGAGTTGGGACTAAGAAAGATAATCTGTTTCTCCACTTGAAAATTGCTATATTTGAGATTTTTTTATCCCGGTCAAATATTTTTGTGAACATTTTATCTCCCCTTGCTCCCCTCTCTTGAAATGAAAGTTGTAAATAATGTCTTAAGCAGATATGCATCCAAAATTACAAATGGATGACATTTCTCTTTGTTTTCTTTGGTATGCAGGTGATCAGCTGATTTCAAAAGCCTATGTGGTTGCACTTCTTTTTATGATGTGTTTTTCTTTTTTTGGTTACTATGAACTATAAAAATAACAGAAGACAACTGTTGTGGGTACTCTAGTTTTTGAATTGTGATTCTTGTCGTCATTTAATGGTTTGGCCTTGAATAATGTTAAAACACATCTATAATTAGTCTGTTTATCTGGTATCCATGATTTTGGTTTATCATCTTGAAAATCAAAACATGACAATTTGTGCCACTGTTTTCCAATTGAGTTAACATGGTCCAATGATGGGAAGCGAGCGTTTCCAGCCCAGCAAGCTGTTATAAGCGCATGGTCTGTGCGCTTGGATTGGATGCCATATCGGGCAGAGATTTGCTCAGGGAAACATTTCCTCTTTGCCTGCAAGATCCTGATTCATTTGCTAGATTTTGTTCATTTGTACAGTACCATTATATGGTCCATCCCCTGTTCTTCATTCTCGGTCGACTGCACTTGCTGAATAACCTGTTACAAAGTGGATATACTTTGACGGATACATTAAAAATATAGAAAACTAATCAGAATATAATCTTAAATTATTAATAGAAGGAATTCCATTTATTTTGATTAATTTATCGAAAATATTGAAACTACAGATGTAGTTGATGTTCAGAGCATTGATATCTACATCCAGGAACAACTAACTAGCCCACTTCTCACTTTCTGCATGCTGAAGCTTCCCTAACTCCCCTGCCCACAACTTCGGAACCAACGACAAGAAGAAAACAAATAAGACAGAAAAGTAAAAGAAGGGAAGAATTATTAATGCGTAGAATATCACTTAAAAGAGAAAAAGTGTGGGATATCCGTTTGCTTATATGAGATAAAACCCAGAATCTTATGAAATAAAATTAGCGCTAAGAATTGCTGCTTATATTTAGAATATCATTTAAGGGGAAGTTTCACTCAAGATAGCTGGAGTCCTTGACAAGTTTTATCGGGTAAAACTAATGATTAGAGGTATCGGGTGCGCAATGCCCTCAGCCTATTCTCAAGCTCAAGAGGCCTACTACCCGTGAATTAGTAGTTGAAACAGACATTCAAGCTGTTGCTCAAGAAAGTTGTCGTACGTAAAGCGTTTTTCCGAATAGAAAAAGCAAAAGAAGATGGTTTTCTACCCTCCATTTTGTCTTTTTGTTTTAAGTTTTCTGCCTCCGTCGTTTCCCCAGCTGGCGCGGCAGGTAGGAGGGTTGCTCATTCTAACAGAAATCATATGGCCTTTGTCCCTCTATATCAATCTATAACAGCTTTGACCAAATCAAGTATGGATATGTAACCTTAGTTGGTGGTAATTACAATTTCTAATGCAAGTTTGGCAAATGGAAATTACGTTTCTCCTTTATTTCCACCCTCTTTCTATTAATATGAGATTAAAGGTTTGAGCTTACCCCAGTTGGTGCTATAGATAGGATCTGAAAATTTCATTATAATCGACAGTTTTGCAACAATTCCACAAGTATCTGACCTGTTTCTTCGCAGGGGGTAACATGGCATGGTACATAAGGAAAGAGTTTGTCCACTAAAGAGAATCATTAAACTTTTATTAATTGCTGTAGCAAACAAAATTCAGGGCAACAAGACCATCTATGTTCACTATAAGGACTGCCGAAATTCAAAAAGTTTCACAAATTCTCACATCACATTCTATGGTTATGGATTACTTTGCTATGATATGATAAAAGAACAATATGAGGCAAGGGAGAGCGTAAATGAGAAATATTCCCACCACAAGGACTGAATCTGCCATTGAAAATTCCACCCTATAAATAATTCATTCACTTCTTTTTGGAGACTCCTAGCCTCAATCGGAAATCCTCCTCCATGAGTGGGAGACCATCCCGCAACTTGACTTTGGCTCCCAGCCTAGCAATTCCTTTGCCCTTGCGATGTCTGGTTTTCTCTGTCGTGGATCATCTGGAGTGTTCTCCACCATCTTTATCTCCACCTCAGGATTAATAAGCTGCAGCAATGCACCATGAAACAGAAGCCAGGTCAGGCTCAAAGCTTTCAAAAGAAAAAAAGGTAATTTTCAACCCCCCCCCCCCCCCTCCCGTATTTCATGCATCCCTTGTCTCTATCTCTCTGTCTTCACAACTTTGAACCCCTCACAGTCCAATATTCAAAACAACATATGAAAGAGGTTGATATATCTAACTTGACAAGGACCAAAATATATTGAGCTATTGAGCTATCACAGTGAAAATAAGAAACTCACCTCCTTAACTGTCTCAGCAAGCTCAAGCATGGTAAATTCACCTAAAAGCATATAAAAGTCCTGAATCAGTAAGTGCCTAAGAGCTAATCATAAAGCCTAGACAAAAATTTCCTGTACATTCACATAAAAGTTTGTCAGATAACCTGGGTTCCAATATTTATAGGACCAGTGTTCTCCCCCTCCATGAGACGAATGAGGCCATCAACCTAAATATTTTTACAAATGTTATACTTAATTTATTTCATACAGAGATATCAGAAGCATTAAAGCTAGTCAAACTTTTACTTCTGTAGCATACCATGTCAGAGACATAACAGAAACTGCGAGTTTGTGTCCCAGGCTTTTGAACTGTCAGTGGTTCACCACTACAAAGTGCAAAAGAGAAGTGAAATGAGAGACAATACTAGCTCAGAGGAAAACAAGGGGGAAAAATGTTTTATGCTAAAGCACGAAAGGGTAACAGAATTTATAAACAACTGTCTTGTTGCTTTATGATTAAATCAGTAATTAATAAGTGAATGGCAGTCTTGTTGACAGCAAACCTAAGAATAAAAAGGGAGCAGACAGTGTGCTAACAACCAACACATTAAAACAAAATATTTACCGAAGTGCTTGAGCTATGAAATTGCTGACAACACGTCCATCATCGATGTTCATGCGTGGCCCATACGTGTTGAAGATTCTAGCAATTCGTATCTCTGTGGTAAAGGATAAAAGAACCATGTTAAGAATTAATAATAGTAGCTGGATAACTTCATTTAGGTAAACCTAGATATTTACCAATCCCATGCTGCCTATGGTAATCAAACATCAGGGTCTCAGCCACGCGCTTCCCTTCATCATAGCAGCTCCGAACCCCTATAACAAGAAGAAGGCATTCAGAGCAATGTTGTCATAATCTTATATATTCTGCCAGGCTAACTCCTCTGTTAATTGGAGCTCCCAAGGTCCAATTTTACATTACACAGTCTTGGCAGTATGTTTCAGATCCAATTTTACAACACTGTCTAATAAAATAAGCCATATGCATAAATAATACAAACATCAATTGAGGAAACTTACCGATTGGGTTGACATTACCCCAGTATGTTTCAGGTTGTGGATGGATTAGAGGATCTCCGTATACCTCTGAGGTTGATGTGAGCAAGATCCTGTTCCACAATATTCCAATTCAGTTAAGCCAGTAGAGAGGGGGGCAGAAATAAATTGATAAAGAACTGCATTCCCTAACCTTGCTCCCACTCGTTTGGCAAGTCCCAGCATGTTCAGTGTGCCAATCACATTTGTCTTTATTGTCTATAAAAATAGAAAGCAAAAATTAAGTAACTAGTCAAAAATATATTAACAGAAACACCAACACCCACCTTCACAGGATTGTATTTGTAGAAAATTGGAGAAGCTGGGCATGCAAGATGGTAAATCTGATCAACTTCAATCAACAATGGCTCGGTAACATCTACAAAGGAGAAAAAGAGACACAGATTCAATAACTACAATAAATATTATACCAACCAATGTAATGAAACAGTATATTTATATCTTAATATGACAAATGATTTTGTAAGAGAATACAATCTCATATTTGCATTATTGATATGAAACTTTTGTTTTCACTACCCATTTCCAGTTAAAGCATTTTGTGTTGCTGTACATTGCAATAGATGTAAATTGAAATCATGAATCACAAATTTCATATAAACGCCAAAATTTCACAATAATAACATCAAATTTCTCAAACTTGCTCTTCCTAATCTATTACCACTATCATCTGAACAGTCTTTAAACTGAAATCCATTCAGCTAATTTGAAGTTACTGCAATGACATTTTGAAACACAGAATACAACAGCTAAGATGGTTTATATCCTGACTCATTCTAATAGACCAGAATATGGGTACAGAAAAATATATGCTACATTAAAAGAAAACGAAATATAGCAAGTACACCTCCAGTAGACCTTTATGGCAAAGAAAAAGAAAAGCTTTTGTATCCAGAGACCATGAAACAATAACAGGCTAAATGATAATAACTTACCATGACGAATAAGCTCAAATCTTGGATGGCCAATCCACTTCCTAAGGTTGTCCTTTGATCCAGTGAAGTAGTTATCAACAACAATCACCTGAGTATGAAGGTATTAGACACATATAATAGTATAGAACATAATAATCTTGGTGCACATGTCAAATACTGGTATCAGTTCTGCTAATGATTTCTAAACAAGGAAACAGAACTTGGATGTGATAAGAAATCTACCAACCTCATTTTTCTCATTTTCCATCAATCTGTCCACTAAGTGAGAACCAATGAAACCAGCTCCACCAGTAACCAAAATCCTCATGTTGGACTGCAATAAACAGTAAAAGATAATATTAAAGATATAAATCAAATGTATATGAAGAATTACAATGTAATCAAGTAATCAAGCTGATCAACAAAAACTTCATCTAAGATGCAGGGAGAGTTCGATAATCGCTAGAACATATAGAAATAAGACAGCAAAGAGAGGAGGAATATTGCAATTCTTGATCCATGAAGGGCGTAAAGATCAAGAAAGCAATTAGAGAAACAAGATCTCAGACAGCAGTCACAAATCTACGCTAAATGCTTAACCATAATAAAGGATCTACAATCCTGGAGCTACCTGTTCAGGAGGGACAACGATATTGGGATTCATTTCTGGAAATTATCTTAAGAATGATTTTGAATGAATCTGGATGAATTCTTTTCTAATAATTGATTATTATTTATATTGCTCTCAATTGTCTCCTGGCATTTATTTTGAAAAGACAGAAAATTACACGCCTACATATAAAGGAACAAGAGGTCATCATTTGAACATGGCCTGCCAACACGTTATTTTATTTGAACATTTCCAAGACTAGCAAACAGTGAACAGATTCACTACCAAATGAGAATGGTAGCACTCGATTAAACAGATCAATTTGGTTTACTGCGAGTGCATATGCAAAGAGATCCATGACCATGAAGCTACGAGTACTATCATCAACTGTTCACATACCCTACATTAAATTTCCTCTACGTTGTGAGATATATCTAATGAGCTGCGGGACCATGCAAGCATACATTGTCTGCCCCAATTTAAATTACTCTAAATAAACCATTTTTCTTAAGCCATAAGCAAAGGCTAAGCTCAATGCAACCTTTTAACACGTTATAATTCACAGAGAAAAGCAACTACCCAGATGCAGAAAAACATCACAATCACTTACTGTTTTTAATCAGCGTAAAGAAAGTGAAAGCTGCATAACATGATAAAGGGAAAAAAAAAACTGATACCAACGTTTTAGTAATAAAGAAAAAGCAATAAAAACAACCTGAAAAAACTTAGAAAAGCGCAATGGAGATGGCAAAGGTGGTGGCTTTGAGGTTGTCTGTTGTTCACCATTTGATGAATTTGCCGCCATTGCTCAGATCTCGCCTTTTTAACGCTAAAACCTGCCAAAGAAGAGGGCCTGTTTGAGAAAACAGACAGAGAGAAAGAGAGAGAGCGATTGAGAGATCAAATTTTGGTAATTGACTTTCAGATCAGGGACTGAAACAGGAGGACGTGATTGAGAATTCCAAAGAATAATCAGATAAAAACGCGCAGCGAGTTTGATCTCTTGCTTACACACAAGAAAACTTGGGATCAGAGAGCCTTATTTATAGCCTCAAAAAAGGTTCTAAAAATCGAAACTGCTTCCGCCAAATTAATTTCCAAAAAAGAAATGATTGATTAAATAAAAATGATAAAATGGGGAGCCTTCTAATTTACGAAAAGTGAGAAGCTTTTGATGATAGCTCCTCGAGAACAATAATAAAAATACTGATCACACCAAACAGAATAAAAACTCCTAATACAAAAAAACCAAAAAATAATTCCGAAAATTGTTCCAATTTTAATTATTTATATTTCAATCTTAATTACCTACACAAACGCGGGATTTTTAATGAAAGGTGGGACTTCCGGCGTCCTGGGGTGGTGGGGGTGGAGGAATTACCAAGGGTAGGGGAGTGAAGTTAAGTGTGTTTAGGGGCGAAAATTAAGGGATACTTTAGTTGTAGTAATAATGGGGCATATGCTTTGCGTTGGCGGGTGGTGAGACACTGAGGAACGAAGACAGAATACGATGCCTTCTTTTCTACGTGAGTTTGTCCCTTCTGAGCTGACGTATTTAGTCGCTGCCACGTCGGCTGAAGGTTAACGTGGGGTACTCTGATTGGTAGAAAATTACAGCTAGTTATTGGTCTTTTTCTTAATTTGAAGACGTGGTTTTAAGTACTCTAAATCTTGGTTTACCTTAATTTGCAAAATTTTTGTAATGATTGGATAATGTTTCCCGTTCTCCTCATTTTCATTTCAAAAAAATAGTGTATAATTTTCGTTCCTTTTTCATAGTAAATTGATAAAAAAAATCCACATATTCACTTTAAAATTTAAATAATAATTCAAAATTTTAAACGAATATTTATAAAATCAAAATCTATCAAATATTAAAATTTGAATTAAACAATATCAAAAATAACAATATCTTATCTGTTAACATCTTGGAGAAATATTTCTTCCATGCCCTTTCTGTATCCTTGTCTTAACAAAACCTCTCAATAATTTTTAATTGATAACATTAATGTTTTTTAGATTGAGTGTGTTCCCCTGTGTTGATGGACACTCACAATAGTAAAGCTAAATTAAAGGAACAAATTATACTGGGTGTTAGACTAGCTCTATTTGAGTGTCCGGTCATTGGGGTCATTTTCAAGAATATGTTCTCATGAATATTCGAGATCCGATGGAAATAGCCAAGGATCCAAAAATAGTTCAATCCTTCAACTGGTATTATTTTTTAGATTTTGAGAACAGTTATTCCAATATTTTAATTCTCTATATCCTTGAACCTTGAAATCCCAGTAGCTTAACAAAAAGATATAATCAATTCTTCAGAGTCCATAGCTTAATACCTTTGCAGTTTGCACTTTTGCCTGTAAAAAGACCATGGTGCATTTAAGTTAGAATATAGTATAGGTATACCACATTGCTCTTTGCAATAATGAATGGGGATAGCTTGAAAAAGCACGCTTGTGACAAACACCGACTCTGGGTCGTACCAGTTAGGCGTTTGGTGGTTGCCTGCCGACAATCGGCCAGATCTCTCTGTTGCTTCTTTTAGCACTTGTCCAAACACACAGGACATTAAGTGGCTGTAGTTTAGTGGTAAGAATTCCACGTTGTGGCCGTGGAGACCTGGGCTCGAATCCCAGCAGCCACAGTGCATACATCTTTATCAATTTCTCTGCCTTGAGCCCATTCCCATACTATTGGGTCTTCAATTTTGGATTAGCTTTTACGAAGACCCAACCCAAGTAGCTTTGGGTTTGATCAAGCTTCTCACTCCGCACTGGGCATCAACATACAGGCTTCGGGAGCCTCACATATTGTAATATTTTTTGTACTAGCAAGTACAGATCCAAAGAAGGCAGAAGCCATAAGGCTGCTCTTCTTTTAAAAATTTTAAGCTTAATTTCCTAGCTTTATCCACCCCACCCCCCAACTGTCTCTAATATGCTTTGCTTCTGTTTTTTATCATGATTCACCCACATCGTTTTCCACCACCCGGAGATAAATGAGATCCTTAAAGCTTCCAAAAGTAATTAAAAGTTGCTTACTATACGGCTAAAATTAGGTGTTGTATATTTATTTTAGTAATTCTATGTTAATCTATAGTTTAGTGCTTTTGCAGTAACCTTTGGGAAAATTCCTATGTGACCCCTTCTATCACTTTCCGCCCTATATCTCTCGAGGATCATACACCAACTTTGTGGAATATATACTCGAAAAGTTAGGCGAATCAACATAAGTCAAGTAAACTTTAAACCTCGACAAACCATATTTAAAAATATTTTAACATTAAACCACCTATCTTTTTTAGCATGCATGTGCTATCCACCTTTCTTTCTTCATGACAAGGACATTGACGGTTCTTATCTTTCTTTCTTTCTATTTTTGTTGCTACTAATGATATAAAATTAAAAGTGAAATTATCGATTATAAAATCTTGTGATCGATAAAATTAATTATGTGAAAAATCAGCTTGTATAGTTTCGAATTACGATTAAAATTAGAGTTTATATTTCTTGAATTGTGGTTGTGTTGTATAACTACAATGATAATGATGGAAATTAGTAATGCACCATGGGGCCATTGGACTTTGCCAAGTTAATATATAATACCATAACTCTACAAGTTACTAGTGATCTGTATTATCCCATCCATGATCATTCATTTTGTAAGACGTTTTAGAAATCAAATCTTTCTTTTTGGATTAAATTTACTTGTCATGGAACAACAAGTTAACTGTATAAACCACGTATTTTACATGAGATTTCATGCAAGTTTACATGGCTTGAAGGATTTTCCCACTGCACAAGTTCCCTTATCCCCTCTTCAATCTGTCGTGTTTCTCTTGTTAAACTTTCCATGCAATACCCCAGGGCACTCAAATTTAATACCATCTGGCTCTTAAGCTCCTTCTCACCTTCAATGCCATGGATGATATCGACAACTTCTTGGGAATGTTGAAGAAATGAACTCAAAATCTTGTTCATCTCATCATCTTCTTCTGAACCAGAAACCCTAAAAAAGTTCGGGCTTGCTGATTTTCCCATCTCGATATCATAAGAAATGTTGTTCTTTTGAAGCTCCTTGTCAAGTATGGTGAGTGATTTGATCAAGGATATCTTTGCAAGGTATTGTACTACAGAGCCAACGGACTCCTTGAAGAGATTAAGGTCACCGTTTAGTTTATTTACAGTTTCCTTCCAAGAAGTTTCCAGTTTTTGTGACTCTCGTTCAAGGAATCCTAGTGCATGAGCACCAAAAAGCAGGAGATCCACCACCTTTGACAAAGACCCCAAAAGCTTACCATAGCAAGCACTATGAAAAGGCAAAAACCAGAAATTGGGCTCCACCTCGGCTTCTCCAATGAATTTTCCTAGCTGATTTACATGAATTTTTAACTTCTTCTGGTTCTCTACAAGGTTGGCTTCGCTGACTTGGAGGCTCACCGAGCCAATACATTCATGCAATGTCTCCAAACTTTTGGAGAGCTCAATTTTAGCCAAAGTTGAAGCTCTTGTGGGCTGGAAAAGAAGCTCCACCACAATTGAACAAGATAATCCGATGAATGTTTCCATGATTCTTGCTATGGCGAAGTCACTTGGGGGACCAAAATTTGTCCTTCCCAATATCAGTACGGCACCAATGACAGCAGATATCCCACCAGCTTGACCGTACATCTTGCTTTGCCTTAGGAAGCTTGTAAAAAGGAACCAAGGAAGAAGAGACAAGAACCTGATAGCCAAGAACCTTTCAAAAAGAAAGCACCCTATAACTCCATAGACAGTCCCCAAAACTGTCCCTTGTGCTTTAACGTTTGCAACTTTAAACGTTGCCTCTCTTGCGGCGGCAAAGCTGACAGCAACTGAGAGTCCTGACCAGAATCCATTGGGCTTACTGTATATCAACCCAAATAGAACTGAGAATCCTAAAGAAAGTGAGAACTTGAAAGCTGGAATGAGCCTTTTGGTCTTAAGGCCGCAGCTGCTCGAAACCTCTTTGGAGGAGAACCCGTTTTGTTTAGATGAAATGGGTGACGATCCTCCATTTTTCTGAACCGGATTCTTAGTCGTTGGATTTGGCAACGACTTACTATGAAGGAGTTTCATGCAAAACAAGAAGAAAAAAGAGTGCAAATCTTGGTGGGTTGGTGGGATTGTTTGAAGCGTTTGGAGGACCTTCGTAATGTCTTCAGCATTTGATTCCGGATTAGTTAAGGAATCACCAGGCAAGAAACTCTTTGCCTGTTTTAACCTTAAGCTAATGTTCTCTTCCAACCTAAGCAGCCCATCCTTGAGTTCTCCATCCAACATTCTCCCGGGAAATGATGGAGTACTTTCCAAAGCCATTTCCATTCCTCTTAAAGCGATCTCTATATCTTGCAACTTCTCCCCTGAGTTCATATAGTAGGGTCTCAAAAACTTGAACGGAAGTGTCTCCCATTTCATGCTTCCCTGTTCACAACACAAAAGAATTCGGTTACTAAATGAAATAAACGTATTCAACAGTCAACAAAAAAGATAAGAGAAATTAATTAGCCTCTTTGTTGTAACAGTAGCGTCAAAATTAGGTTGACGGGTCATACTTGGAAGCGTTTAACACTTTGAAGAAGTTTGGTTCCGGCTGCGGTCAACATCTTCGCTTGAGAGATGGAAGCAGATGCAGCTGCGTTGTCTTCTGCGCATAGTGCCTTGACGAACAGCTTCAGCCTCTGTGAACCGTTCTCCGCCAGAAGCTTGCAGTTTCTCTTCGCCTATAACATTAAAAAGATATTCTCCCAAAATCAATGTACTATTCAGGCCTTTTTTTAAAAAAAATAATAATATTTTTGTTTAGTTTTTTTTTCCCTAAGAAAAGAAAAGACAAGGAAACAAATACCACTACTACTTAGTAGCCACTATTGACTTTTAATATATTGTAATTTACAAATGCTGGGCAGACGTCATCTAATCCAAAAACTCAAGATTTTCAACATTTTGTAATGGATTTTACTTTTGGGTACGGCATTATTGTACTAAATCCTTTACTAGATTCTCTCATTTATGTTCTGCGTCTGCAATCTTCCAAAATTATGATAAAGAGTCTAAACCTTTAGGAAATTTCCCAAGTCTCAACAACCCTTTGTACGTGTGGTTTTAGGTGCCAAGCAGCTGAGTTAAAGAAGAGTTTATATTAATTACATATCTAATTTAATTTAAAATCAAAGATCAAATTAGTATATAGTTTTTGTTCGTCTTTTCTAAGATACGCGATACTGCCAAAAAAGCACTAATTAAAGGTTGCTCAAAACTAAAAACTACTAGTAAGTACTAAGTTCTTTCTATATTCTGCAATCTTCCAAGCTTATATATGTTAAAGTTGTTGTCTTTTATTAGATGTAAAGGAGTGGAGAGAGACAGAAATGATACTAAGATTTTGACTAACCTCGCAACAAGCCAATCTTGGGTAGGGTAGCAATAAGGCCAAAACGCAAGCCAAGACCCCAACAGCAGTGCTAGCCGCCACGTGCACCGGATGCATGATAGGCTCCGTTCGCCCACCATTAATGAAGCCGATAACATAAACTATAACGATTTGGCCCAATGCTATTCGCTTTGTTATCAAGTGAGTCGATTCGGGCAACACCACCACCAGCCCTCCTAATGCTACCGCAAGCGCGGTGGTTCCATCAGTAAGCTTGGCTGGTCCTATCAGCCACAGGCTCAACATGGCAGGCCCCAGGCTCTGGACGGAGGCATAGAGAGCCAGCCAGCAGCCATGCAACGTGTCACCCAACGTGGCATCTGTCACTATGAGGATGACGGTCACGTAGGAAAATGCTGGGAATGCTACTTGGCGTTGGAGCGAAGCTGGTCCATACAACGTGGCGATGCCAACGATGATGCAGGCTAAGGCGGTGCGGGAGGCGGAGGCCAGGCAGGTCCGCCATACGGCTCTGGCTCTGCTCGGTTGGAGGGGTGCGGTTGGCATTGTTGAGAAAGTCGGGAGGGAAAGAAGGGAGAAGAAACAAGAAAGTTGTTTTTGACAAATGTGAAATGCTTTCTCCCTCGCTTTGTTTGAGTGAGGGCTTTGGTACGGTGGGGTTTGAGAGCAGCTGTTGGGGTGGCTTATGTAAGGGCAGGAGATTACATGTGGAAATTTGGAGCCACGTGGAAGGTCAGTTTGGGGGCCCACCTGTGTTTAATGGAGTCATTTAAAAGTTGAAAGACAATATCCTAAAAAAAAAAAAAAAGGTTGAAGACAAGTTTAGATAGTATATATAATCCTGGCTCAGCTTTGTGGCGAATTAACAAAGATTTTTTCAATATATATGGTAGAGATTTAATGGAGGCTTTTTTGGCAATTCAAGATCCAAGCCATTAGTTCTATGTAAGTTATCTAGTAATTTTTAAGTATTTTTTTAAATTAATTTATTTTGACATATTGTCCGTATATAAATTTATCATATACACTATTAATAAATTTAATATTATCATCTCATTAGTAAATAAATTTAAAAATTAAAAACTTTAAAAAATAAATATTCATAATTTTAAAAATATTTATGTTAAATAATAATATATAAGTACTATACATTGATGGTGCATAACTTGATTAATTACTTGTCTTAAATTATTCAAACTCGAGCTTACAATTTACAAATTAATTATTCTGAAAGCTTTAATCCATATCCTTAATTTTCTAATACATGCTATTAAAAAGAGAAACTGGAGCTTATACTTTAGTGGAAGCCCACATTAGGGAAAAAATTCAACGTACATACCAACCCACAAGTTGAAGCATAGGCTTTAGATTATAGTTGTTAGGAGTCATCAGCCTCATCTTCAACCTTAAGTAACTTGGAAAATTCAGATGAGGTACTTTAATTAGCTTTATGATCTGTTAAAATACTTTATTCTTCATGACTGCCGCCGACAAGGAGAAAACATTTTAGGTCAAACATGTTTTGCTTTTTGATTGGTTGAAATTTATTGAAATTGGTCAGCAGGATATCCGTGCTCTGATCTACGGTGATCGTCTGCCAGATTAATTTTATCGGGGGAATCCTGTGTGATTTAATGGCCGACGGAATGGGAATGTTAGCACAGTCTTTGAGACCAAATATGTTAGTACAGCTTTTAATTACTTTAAGTTATCATTATGGGCAACTTTCTGATCCTATTTTAATTGTTTCAACATGTAAAAATAATTTAATTTAAAACTTAATTAGTTTTTCTAACAATCATTAAATTAAATTCTTAATTGTTTAAATCGTGAACAACATATTTTATATTCAAAATAGTTTACAATACTAAAAAGTATGATTTTTGTCAACAAAATATTCTATTAATATCTTTTATTAATTAATTTCTGATAAAATATTTCATTAGAAGTTTAGATGGGAAAACAATTATAAATGATTTTTATAAAAATGAGAATATTTCATCAAAAAATTATAACAAAATTTGTTAATAGATATTATGATTTGTAAAAAATTGTAACGATCGATTTTAGTTTAAATTTCAATAAGTTTGTTGTCAAATTAACTTAAAAATATCAAAATAAAAAATTTAAACTCACATTTTTGTCATAATTCAGCTTAATTGTAAGTAAATTCTCAGAATTACACTTTCAATTTTTTTTTGTTTTCCATCTGTCTCAAGCATGAGTATATTGTGATCAAATCATTTGAACTTGATAAATTTAGGAGTGAGCAAATAGGTGGATTAGGTGGTTTGGTCTATCACATTTAAAAATCAAATAAACCAAATATTTTTAAAAAATAGATCAAAATTGATAAAATATAAAAAAATTAAACTAACTAAATATAAAATTGGTTTAGTTAGTTTAGTTTTGGACCAATAGATCAAAATTTAATCACTTTTTATTACAAATTATAATATTAAAATTTATAAACTTCATCTATAATTATAAAATATATATACAAATTATGCTTAAATTAAATATATATAAATATATAATATTATATATATATACAATTAATGACACAACTTATATGTTATAATATTTTAATTTTTATATCAACGTTTGAATAAATAATAACTAATTATAAATAATATATTATAAAAACTCGAGTGATGATTAGTAAGGTTATTAAGTGTAATCATATAAATAACTATTATAAATTATAGTAATACTTATGTATAAATTAAATAAAAATATATAATATTTATACAATTATATATATTCATAACATTTTATATTACAAAATATTACTGAGGTGTAATAACTATAACATATTAATATGTACGATATTTACTATCATATATTATAATATTAATATATAAATTATATCATTTAAAATATATAACTTGTAATTTTATATTAATACATATTTATAAATAAATAAATAAAATTAAAATTAAATTACTATGATTATGATTTGTATACATATATAGAATAAATTAATATATTTTAAATATATTATTAATTAAATTTACTATTAATTTTTATTAAAACATATACAAATATTATATATATTAATATAAAAAAATTAATTTAGTTTTTTGAATGAATTGGTCTAAAAATTTTAAAACCAAGAACCATCAAAAAAATTAATTGAATCAAATATTTAGACCAATTGATCCAATGGATCAATTAAACCGAATCTCTTTTATTTAAATTGTATTTGGTTTGGATAAATAATTATCTAATTTGATTTTGCTTATCCTTAGATAAATTAAAAGCAATTTGGTCTGATTCGAGCATATCTTTGCTATATATCCACATGGGATAAAGAAGCTAAACAAAGGATTAAATTCCCTAAACTCCCAAGACACCAAATAACATCCGTAAGCATCGTGAGAATAATCAAAGAATCATTACCATCCCATTTATGCATAAAATCATGACTCGAAAGGGAAACCTTTTGCTTCTTTTAGGTACCAGTTCTTCTTGTCCACGCCTGGGGGCACTTCGGATAACATCATTATCTCCATTAAATCCCATTGTTTAACTAGCTAGCTACTTGCAAATTAAACCTTATTAATTTCCAATTATAGCTAACAAAGCCTTTAGCTAAAGCTGTCAAGCCAAGTCACCCCCAAAATCCAAAGTCCCCTACCTAATGAGAAAGAAGAAAAATAAAAACATTCTAGGAAATAGTAAAGGAGATAAATAATTAGGTTATTGATTACTTACATAATAAAGTTAAAGTGGGGTTTCTCTAGATTTCCACTGACCTTATTTTCGGGTCGCTCATTTTACTAATTTGGTGTTCCTTGAGCAGAAGGAAGGGTCAAGTGGGGGCATTTGCTGAGTCCTCTTATCAATTGACACTAGTGCTGTAAGTTAGTTAAAGCAAAGCTGCTCTTCCCCTACACTACAATTTCAATTCCCTCTCACCGAATTTTCCTTTTTTTTAAAAATAAAAATCTAAAAAGACTGTACCTTTTTTTCTTGGCTCTGATTTCATTTGCCCTAATTTGCTCACGTAGTCGTGCTCACGAGCTGGTGCCCATGGGTTTTAATGGAAGACAGTTATTGGCACTCGCGCTCGCACGCTTCCCCCATGCAGCAAGAACCTTTTCTTTTGTGTGGGATGATGCCATCAAAAGTTTTCAAGGCTTAAAATTTCTCAGGGGATGGGTGGCAGACCCTTTTCAGCCACCGTATATACATGGTGGGATCCAATGTCAGAATGTTATGTACCTTTATCTGTTATATACCAGAAAATTTTAGTATATTATAATCTACGTATGATACATAATTTATTATAAAATTCGAGATGAACAGAATTGAGATATTTTTTACATGACAGTAGAATAAGGTGGATTCGAATCAAGTTTTGCAATTTCTTCGCTTTAAGTGATTGTTATAATTTATTTTTGATGTATACTTGTAAGTTTGCATACCAGGATCATGATTACGAATAAGAACTTAATAATATTTTATTCAAATAAGCAAAAAAAAAAAAAACTCAGATATTTTTTAGAAAATTAGGGGTTATGTTGGTTTTAATTAACTGCATTGCATTAGAAAACTTTCTGTGAGAAGCTTTAGTGCTAATTCTTCTGGTTGTATTTAGGGCCTATATAGATCCTCGCCAGTAGTGATGTCATTGAAGGGAAGTTTATCAACAATTTGTGATTTTGAACAAATTAAGATAGAGATGTAGGAGGATGATGATCTGAGTAGGATTAGGCTGTGTTGTTCAAGAAGTATAGCAGCTGGCCTGGTTATTGGTTTTTAGTTTCTGTCACTCACTCTGTAATTAACCATAGCAGAATCCATTTTTCCTGCAGGAAAAATGCCAGGGAACTGGGAAGAGTATACTTTTGAGAGCCTCTTTAGTTATTTTCTCTCTCTCACTGATTATGATAATCTGGTTCTTCAATTGACTAGTATAAAATGCCAACAGCTTGGTGATGAAGAAAGGTACTAGATAGATATAGGTGCAAAAGAATTCACCTAAGGTTCAACCCTTTTCATAGTTGTGCCAGTTTCTTTTCTCCATTCAAAGGGGCATTCTGATCTGGTTCGTTTTCATTGTTTACAGGTAAAAGTTATGGTAGCAAGGGACCAAAACCCAAGCACCCTGAAGCCTGTAACTTCTTCCAGGTGATTCTTTTCCAACGACAAGGATCGAGGAACTCTTTGACGTAAGACAATACCAAAATGAGCAAAAAAGGCAAATAATATCAGAAAGACACATGGAGAGAAGGATTGTGGTAGACTTGCTCCTGGTCTGTCTTTATCAAGGCCTAGAAACCATTTTGCATCAAACAGGCATCAGCACTATAAAATGGTGGGGTAATTGCTGGAAAACTGTTTGATTGGTTAGATTGTCCCACACCATCCACTAACCCATTCCAAGCCCATAAAGTTAATTGCCAACAAGAAGACCATTTCTGCAACAGCACGTTTTTTTTTTTTATCTTTTTGACATAAAAATTGAAGTACACTAGAAACAGTCAATTCCTTGGCTCCCCACAAACCTCACCAGTCACCAACAGTTATCTAATTAATGG